AAGTTATATATATATTATATATATTTAATATAAGTAATTTTTTTTAAAGAACGAAACCTTAGGAACCACAAAATATTTAGTAACTATGCCTAGAGCTCCCTGATAGAGTCACTTGGTGCAGGATTTGCATACTGCTCTAGCTGGCCCATGCCCAAATGCTGCTGGGCTCCCAGCTTCTGTCCTTTTCTCTGCCAGCTTCTAACCCTTGCCTGGATGTGCTCAGTATATTAGAACTGGTGGGTGGGTTTGAATCATGGGCAAGCAGGGAGCCATTCCTGACTATATGCTGATGACCTGTGGTGTTTCACCAGTGTAGAACAAAGGAGGAGATGAGGCTGGCTTGGTCAGGGACAGGTATGTGATCTGTTTCAGAATATTCCTCACTCCAGTTCTGGACATAGCTTTGATGCACTAGACTTTTAGAGCCAGGTCCTTTCATCTTCTTGGAATTGCAGAAGCTAACTGCTATCCCTTAGTCAGGCAATCCACCATTGGGAATGGAAAGCAGATTGACTTTCCTTTTCTGCTTTTTTCCTTTTGGGGGCAGGGAGCACACAGGTGTTAGGGATGAACTGCTCAAGCATTCCGGGCAAGTGCTCTGCCATTAAACTACACCCTCATCCCCTTCAGCTGTTTGCTTTTACATTTGTAGTTGGTGTTCCGGGTCGAGTAGCAGTGAGCACCATGGCTGTTGGAGAACCTGGGCTGGCTTCCAAACCAGCTTCTCCTGCTGCAGGGCCCACCCAGGTAAGGCTTAGATGCAGGGGCACACAACGGCAAATGGTGCGGTGCTGAGGCAGGCAGCTGTCGGGAGTTCTTCTGTGGCAGCCAAGGCTCCTGTGGGTCTTTTTCAGTTTATGAATTTCAGAGATGCACATGCTCCTTGAAGTAGAGCCTTGATTTAACCCTCATTGACCTGGGCCTCTGACTGCAGAAATCTTTATTCCTTTTGTCTTATCTTTTCCTCTGCCTCTTCATTTTTCCTGCTAGTTTCATAGAAGTAGGCCATGAATGTTGAAATGAATGTGTGCATAACAGTTCCCAAAGTGTTTAGTGAGATGATTTTGTCAGATTGTTTCTCAGATAACCTTTTTTTTTTTTTTTAAATGTTATGTTTTTCTGATGTTTTTGATCAAGGAGGAAAAAAGCAGACTTTTGAAGGAACGGTTGGATCAGATGCATTTTGTCAATGACCGGCGCTGTTCCCAAGCGCCAGTGTATGGCAGAGACTTGCTGAGGATTTGTTCCCTCCCTGGCAGAAGGAAGAGGCCATTGTGCTGGTCTTTGGATAGCAACCTTGGGAAGGGTGCCAGAGCAGCAAACTGTTACATGTCACCCTCAAAAAGTAAAGGTGATCTTATTGTGACAGTGAGTCAACGACAAGAATCTCTTCAAGATGTTCTTGACAGGTGAGTTAGTGTATGCAGGTAAATATTTTTATCCTTTATTTTTTCTTCCTTTACTCTGCTGCATACCAGATTTTTTTTTTTTTTCTTTTAATTTTGGTTCTTCATTGGAAGCACAAGCTGGCTTCCAGTTCCATGTAGCTAGCTAGCCAAGGCTTTCCTTGAACTCTTCCTGATGCTCCTGCCTCCTCCTCTCAAGTGCTGGTATGTATGAATCACCACATCCTATAGTTCTTCGTTCTTTGGACTTTTTAAAAAATTTTTTTTTATTTTTTATTTTTTCAAGACAGGGTTTCTCTGTGTAGCTTTGCGCCTTTCCTGGAACTTTGGAGACCAGGCTGGCTTCGAACTCACAGAGATCTGCCTGGCTCTGCCTCCCGAGTGCTGGGATTAAAGGCATGTGCCACCACTGCCCAGCCCTTTCTTGAAATGTTCTTATTTCCAGTTGCTTTTCCCCAGGTTGTCCTTTTGAGTTGCTTGGGGGTTTGAAGTGGTTTGGGGTCTCTATCTTTGGGACCAGAGGGCCTGGTTATTGGGTTATTAGCTGGCTCTTTTAGAAAACTGACCCACAAAACTAGCCATATGCTACTTGGGGACATTGAAGAGTAGAATTCAGAACAAGTTAGTAGAGCAGACCCAATGGGCTAGGTGCTACAGCCAGCCACACTGTTGCTGCTAGGCCTTGATATGTCTGCTTCTGTTCAGACTTCTGACCCTCTACGCAGGTCTCTATGTACCCTGGCCCTGCTCCCCAGGCTCAGCTTCAGGGTCATTTTCTTTGTCTGGCTGAACTACGTTGTTAATCCCTGTCCAAAAGAAGGCCCTGATAATTCAGTGCCTAAGCTCAGTGTTGAGAGCCTGCCCTCCAGGTCTCAGGTCAGTGAATCAGTGAAGAAAGGGCAGGGAGTCCTTCCTAGGCTGACCACCTGTGCCAGGTCTTCCCAGGCTGTGTGGTAGATCTGCAGCCATTTGTTCTCATGCCCTTGCTTGTCTTTGAAATGCTAGTCATCTTTATTCATCACAGAGGGCCACTTCAGCGGAGATGTCCTTGGGAGCAAACCAAGATCCAGCTTCAGGAGAGCTTCAGGGGCTGGAGAGACAACTAAGCAGTTAAGAGCCCCTGTTACTTTTGCAGAGGACCCCAGTTTGGTTCCTAGACCCCGTGTTAAGGAGTTTACAAGTGCCTCAAGCTCCAGGGCATCTGACATCTTCTGGCCTCTGTAGGCACTGCATGCATGTGGAACATAGGGCTACATAGACACACATGCATAAACATAACTAAAAATAAAAATAGCTAGGCATTAATAGCATTATCATTAATGCACAGCTTTAATCCCAGCACTTAGGAGACTGAGGCAGGCAGATGGCTATCTGTGAGCTCTAGGCCATCCAGAGTTACCTAGTAACTGGCTGGCTTGGAGCTGTTATTTTACTCCATCTAAATAAAGTTTAAAAAAAAAATTAAAAGTAAGTAAATAAATAAAATTTGAAACTGAGCTTCAGCTAATGCCCAGGGAAAGGCTTTCTGGTATAGATGACTGGAGGTTTGCAGGTAGTGTCAAGTTGGCAATGGTCTTGCTGTTCTGTCTGTCTGCAAGGGTGTTCTGGGTCTGGCCCCTCTCAGTTACATGTCACCTGCAGCATTTAGAAGGTTTGCATCCAGAGACAGTTTACTTCTGTCACAAGATCCCCAGCAAGAATATCTGAGCCAATGGCTATGGTCTGGAGAATGCCCTGTGCTGATCATTTAGATCTGTCCTGATGGAGGTTGTCTTGGGATGGTGTCCCTTATCTGTGAAAGATCATGCTACCTTGCAGTGATAGAATCAGGAGCTCAGGCTGCTTGTCTGGCAATACACACTGCCAGAGGGTTCTGTCCTTGCTTAGAAGCCTCAGTGCTGCCAGAGGCTCCAAGGTGCCACATAATGACCACACATGATTTCTGCTCCTCAGGGTGGCCTGTGTGATTCCTCCAGTAGTGGCGATGCCACCCTCCCTGTGGGTGGCAAGGCCGCCCTCCCTGTACAGCAGCAGGTTGCGAGCTCTGAGACAGTGCCTGAGGGAGCATACCCGCCCCTACCACCGGCAGCTGCAGCAGCTGACAACACTTCGCTCACTGCAGTTCCCGGAGCTGAGACTGGTACAGTTCGACTCAGGTATGACAGACCCTGTTGGCACAGGTTATGAAGTGTGATACACTTCTTCTGGAATACAAGTCTCTTGCTCTTCCTTTCTTTTTCTTTTTTTTAGGGAAGTTAGAAGCTTTAGCAATCCTGCTACAGAAACTGAAATCTGAAGGACGACGAGTGTTGATTTTATCTCAGATGGTTCTTATGCTGGACATTTTAGAGATGTTCTTGAACTTCCATTATCTCACCTATGTACGGATTGATGAAAATGCCAACAGTGAACAACGGCAGGTAAGAAGTAATCTTCCTGTCATGGTAATTTCCTGGTGTGATCCTGAATCATGGGATTCAGGCCTCATTTCTTACAACTGTGAGGTCAGTGTCCCATACCTCTTCTAGCATTTAGAGCACATCTAAACTCCAAACTGACTCTTTTCTTGATGTTTTCTCCCCTCTCCCCCCAAACAAGCATGTCTCAGAACAAATAAATAGGGATAATCTATATTCACATTGGGTTAGTACTGACATACTTTTGGGGGCTCTGTACCAAAGATGTGAGTGCTTTTTAGACTAACTTACAAAGAAATATAAATGGAAAAGTATATCCATGTTTTGCTTGCCATATTTGCTACTTTTTAAGATTTGGTTAATAGACATTGCTGGTAGGAGCCTCTTTAGCATAACTTTACAGAAAACAGCATGATTGCCAGCCTCAGAGATGGATAGACACTTGATCTAGTGTTCCCTATCTAGGACTTCCATACAGTAGCAATCGTGCCTCACTGCATGATTGGTATATAAAATTGTTCACTGTAGAAATGCACAAGATAAGCTGTGATCAGTAACAGAGTGACTATTCAACAGCAGAAGAAAGTACAAAAAGAAGGTCTGTGCCTTGGCAGTGAACCACAAACTGTCTTCACAGCTCCATAGAACAGACTCAGAGGTCCTTAGCAGAAGTATCTCAACATAAGCCTGAGTATATAGTACAAGGGGTCCTGAGTGCAACAAAGATAGGGTGCTGGACAAGGCTCGAGTTGCGCTTTTTATGTTCCATAGCAAATACGAGGTTCCTACACAGCATGGCTGCAAATAGAAAAGAGCCTATTTTGTAGGTAATAGTGTAAAAAATTGGGTTGTGGGCTGGACAGATGACTCAGAGGTTAAGAGTACTAGCTGCTCTTTCAGAGGTCCTAAGTTCTGTTCTCAGCAACCACATGTGGCTCACAACCATCTGTAATGAGATCTGGTACCCTCTTCTGGCCTGCAGGTATATGTGCAGGCAGAACACTGGGTACATAATAAATAAATCTTTAAAAAAGAAAAGAAAATTGGGCTGTTATTTGAAGGGAGAGGATTGGTCAACTTTTAGTTCTGTTTTGGCATGAAAATAATTTGCAGAAGAGAAGTACTCACATTTTCATTACAATTCATTGTCCCAAGTGGTGAGAGAGATCTTTTTCTACTTCCTCAGCCTTACTCCAGGGGCTTCTTGCCTGTAGAGTGCCCTGGCATTGCCTGAGGATAGAGGAGAAAGCACAGCTCCCTCCCTAGCAAGACTCTGCTTTCTTGTGGGGGCCTACAGATTGGGCTGACAGCAAGTGCCAGATAGGGCATGACATCTTATGCACATGATGCCTGTATTGTCTAAACCTGACACACAGATGCTTATGGATAGAAGGAAGAGCATACATGCAGGAGAGCCAGGGTAAGATGTTATACATGAGACAAATCAGACTGTTACAGAACAGATCATGGGAAGTGTCAGAGGTCTCCCAGTATTCTCCAGACATGTTAACCTGAGCACTTTGTTTCCTCTCAGGAGCTGATGAGGAGTTTCAACAGAGACAGGCGGATTTTCTGTGCCCTTCTCTCTACCCATAGCCGTGCCACTGGCATAAACCTTGTTGAGGCTGACACCGTGGTGTTTTATGACAATGACCTAAATCCAGTTATGGATGCCAAGGCCCAGGAGTGGTGTGATAGAATTGGGAGGTGCAAGGACATCCACATATACAGGTGATGACAATCCTGGCCAACTCATAGAACTGCCCATAATGAACTTGTAGGAGGTGTGGGTGCAGGAATTCATTTTAAGTGGTAGAGCCAGATGACTATGCTGCATTTGAATTTTACAAGTTCATATATAACTGTGAGGTTTTCTTTCCTTTTAGACATGTTTCTAGTACTGCCATTCTGTCTGGTCTTTGAACTTGGCGTTTGCTTGGATTTGTAATCAGTTGTGTGGCTTAAGTCTGGTTGTTGGCTTGCTGGTGTTCAGTGTTCACATGTTGCATCTCTTTTAGGATAACTGGAGAGCACAGTTTATATTTGTGTTGTTTTAAGAATTATAAAATACAGCCGGGCGGTGGTGGCGCACGCCTTTAATCCCAGCACTCGGGAGGCAGAGCCAGGCGGATCTCTGTGAGTTCGAGGCCAGCCTGGGC